GGAAACTTGAGGGTTGATTTTACTCGTAGGTAGTCTCATCTGAGTGTGCCCTGAGAACGAGATATGTGCAGCTCCTATCGGGATTTGTCGGCACATTCGGGCGGCTTTGCTGGTCTTGTTTTACCATTGTCGAAATGCCTTGTAACCGGGATGCCGAGTCTGATCGGATTGTCTTGGGAGAAGGAATATTCTTCGTTGACCGTGAGAGCTTGTGATGGGCTAAGTTGGGACACCCCTGCAGGGATTTGAACTTTCGAAAGTCGTGCCCGCGGTTATGGGCAGATGGGAATTTGTTAATGTCCGGTTGTAGAAAACCTAAATATTATCTTAATTAAAATGCATCAACCGCGTGTGTAGCCGCGATGGTCTCTTCTCGGCGGCGGCCGGGAAGTGAACACGGTGTTGGAGTTATGCTTGACGTAGGTTGCTCTAGGATCACTTCTTGATCATAAATTCTCGACCGTGCTTTTGCCTTCTCTTCTCGCTCTCATTTGCGTATGTTAGCCACCATATAAGCTAGTCGCTTGCTGCAGCTCCACCTCATACTTTTACCCTTCCTATAAGCTTAAATAGTCTTGATCGCGAGGGTATGAGATTGCTGAGTCCCCGTGGCTCATAGATACTTCCAAAACCAGTTTGCAGGTGCCGATGATACCATGCAGGTGGCGTAACCAAGCTCAAGGAGGAGCTTGATGAAGACCTTGTTCGTAGTGTTGTTTCGTTTCAGTTGATCAGTAGTGGAGCCCAGTTGGGACGATCGGGGATCTGTGTAGCATGTGGGGTAGTCTTCTTTTATTTTGGTTCCGTAGTCGGACCTTGTTTGTATCTGGATGATGTAATGTTATATTCATGTATTGTGTGAAGTGGCGATTGTAAGCCAACTATGTATCTTTTCCCTTATGTATTACATGGGTTTTGTGAAGATTACCTCACTTGCGACATTGCTTTCAATGCGGTTATGCCTCTAAGTCGTGCTTCGACACGTGGGAGATATAGCCGCATCGAGGGCGTTACAGGCTCTCTATGGAAGAATGATGGTACAATAAAAGCTTTCACACTTCACTAAAAATGACACATTTCCAATCTCTATATGCCAAACCGCCCCCTCTCATTGTTGAACTGGTGTTACCCCCACCAGAGGGAGGACATACTCAAGATGAGCTAGACAAGAACAACATTGCACAGTAGATCAAGGACAATTTGCTGAAAGCACGGGAAAGAATGAAACACTTTGCTGACAGGAAGAGGTCTAATAGGAAATGGGAAGTGGGAGATATGGTGCATGTCAAGCTTCAACCCTACAGGCATACCAGCCTGAGCATACACAGACATCTCAAACTCCATTCTAAATACCATGGACCCTTCAGAGTGTTGGAAAAGATTGGCCAGATTGTATACATATTGCTGCTTCCCGCTGGCTGTTAGTTACACCCAATGTTCCACATCAGCCAACTAAAGAAGCATATAGGACCTGATGCGGTTCCTAACCCAAAATTACCACTCCTTGATGCAGATGGCCACATTCTGATACAACCTGAAGCATTGCTCGAGAGAAAACTTATATCCAGAGTGCAAGGAGATATCAGCATTCCGATGGTACAATGGCGCACCAAATGGTTGAATTTACCAGTGGAAAATGCTACTTGGGAAGACGCCGCATTCATGCAGAAGATCTTCCCTTGAGGACAAGTCTGTTCTCAACTAGGGGGGGAGTTGTTAGGATTGTAGCTGCATTTAGAACAATGTTGTTTTCTGTTGTCAAGTCTGTTGAGCCGTGATTCATCAATCGTGCAGTCGTCAGAGTCACTTACCGCTTCACACACTAGCGTCCTCTCTCAACCTTTGATCTTATGATGGGCGGTCCTGGTGAATGCTACGTTGTAGTTCAAATTTACCGCAAGCACTGTAGCTCGATGTGACTTTCTTTTTCCCTTCTGTCGCATTTTACTTTTGACTATTTAGTGGGCACTCTCCAGCGAGGGAGCCATCTATCTTGTAATCGGGTTGTGCCCTAAGCCGTCTTGTTCCGGCTGGAGACCCTAGTTCCGGGTTCCTCCGATCTAAATCGAAATCCCCAACCAAATTCGCAAGCTGATTGAGTTCTTCTCTGAATTTCTATGATGAACACTGACAGCCACGAGTAGGACCTGTCAACTTCTTTGACCCCTCTCCCATCGCCGGTGCGGCGCACCGGTAGTATCGCTAAACTCTTGCCTGGGTATTAGAGTTTGCCAGTCTCCGATCAAAGACTGGTCTGTTCTTATTTTGTTTAACTATGTAAGCAATTGATCAGGATAGCCTGGCGTACTAGATAGGAGTAATTGGGAGGCTCGATTTGCTTATTTTGTGTAGTGACATGTTTACCATCCTATCGAATGCTTCTCCCTATAATGGTTGTATCCGTGGGTTAACTTTCATAAACCCCCAGTCTGTTGCAGCTACTTTTGGTTGCTACGAGAGCTGTGAAATGTGGAACGTCGGTTTCTTTGTCTTGACTTAATAAAGTAGGGGCGGGGGAAATAGAAATCCAACTCGATGCCCAGGCTCATATGCTTCCCATTGGGAAAAAAATCAAAACAAATACTAAAAACAAATTAAAAATCCAATTTTTTAGTAGATAATTTGATGCGAGAGGTCCGCTTCAAATTTCAACTCATTTGGACATCTGAGCAGATCTGAGCAGCTCTCGTCAAAAAAGACAAAATCAGAGTCTGTAAAAAAGTTTACTGTTCACGCACTGTTCTGACCCTACTTTTGTCTTTCTTGCCGAGAGCTGCTCAGATATTCAAATGAATTGAAATTTGGAGCGGACCTCACGCGTCAAATTATCTACCACACAAAAAATAGTTTTTTTGAATTTTTCTAGTATTTTGATTTTTTTTCTGAGCACGGGTGCATATGAGCCCGGGAGCAGAAACTCCGCGTCCTGGGGGGAAACCCCTTTTGTTTAAAAAAAGAACTGATTATAGATACTTACACTTGAATACATTGTCATCCCGCTTTTGTTCATGGTGTGACTTCTGAGAGTCATCAGTGAATTAAAGAACAGAGTGAAAGTGTTTAGCTTCAGCACAAAAGAAAACGAATCATTCATAGAAATCGATCGCGGAACGCAGAAGGCATTTCGCTACCCATCATTTCTGAAGCAAATAGCTTCGTTTTAGAATTATGGATGGTCAATGTTTGGACAGTGCATTACAGATTATTCGGGACAACTTGAGCTTTGTACAGCTCTGTTGTCATGGACAAAAATGGGGCTGATGTGAAACAAGTCGATCGAGTTCATTCTCAGTATTACATTATTGTTAACATGTTGGTAGCTTGCACCGTGACTAATCTTTCAGCTGTGACTAGTCTGTGGGTAAGCAAAAATATGTTAATTCATTACGAGTTTAGCCTGTGCAGAGAAGTAAACGCTCAACGCGAGTCAGTGGAAGTCCGGTTGGCCAGTGGACGTGAGACATCGGTGCCACATCCTGCTATTTGGGTTCACATGCTTCGGTGTTGTGATGACTTCTGTGATCGGGAGGAAGGCATAATGTGTGTTGCAAATACCTGATGTGATGCCGCTGAACCCGGCAAATGCTCCATGGACCTAGAGGAGTTTATATTCGTCAAATGCAAACTAGATATGATGGATGCATGCTACCAGTACATATGTGAAATACAGGACATAAACTTACAGCATTTTGTCCAAGCACAGTGCACAAGATGGCATCAGATGCATTTGCACGACACGCCCGGACCATATATGTTGGGTCGATGTACTTCACATCAGCTAGAACACCAATGTCCTTGAAATGTTTCTTGATCTGGGGAGTGATACCAGTGACATCAAATCATTTAGTTGCTATGTACAACTTGACAAAATATCAAAAGGGCGGAGGAATAGGAAGGTTATAACAGATAGAACATGTCAATACGGGAACAGTATCTAATTACTAAGCTTTAAATTCAACATTATATGGTCTCCTATCATGAAATAGGCATGTTAATGACTTGCATGTACAGAAAACGAGGTTCATAAGTTATACACTGGCAGCTAAAAATAACATGTGCAGCACTGAGGTCCCTAACTAGGGTTTGCAAAACTGATGTTAGACTCGGACCAATCCTGACTAGGATGAATAACGTTAACCAGTTCCATTTGTGCCAGAACACTACTGCAACTAAGCTTAGGCAAGCAGCTCAACAAAGAACTGACCAGAAGTTCTACTTCCGTTAAAACGGATTTTCGGTGCACGGGGGCAACGGGGCACGTTATTTTGAACTGCTCAAAAGAGGTGTTTAAATTATTTGAATTTTGTTACATGAATACGCATGCATGTGGTCTAAGTATCTGTGAAATTTCGTTCAATAATACGTTGTATTATGTGCTGCACAAAAAAGACAAAAAATCGGCCAAAAACAACAACAAAAAAGCCCCTGATTTGCATGGATTTTGTCTTTTTTGTATCTTTTACATGCGAGCACTTATATTGCTGAAAATTTGGCCTGTTACACTGCACTGCTATACGCGTGTGCACGCAAAAATTTGAAAATTTCGAACATTAAAAATCTGGTTTTCTGAACTTCAAAAAAACAGGCACTATGTGCCCGTGCTCAGATGTCGATTTTTTCTCTCTTTCCAGCAAAACACAATAGAATAGACAAGATTCTCATAGTTGTTCGACTTTCCAGTAGATTGTGAATTGGCACGCTTACCTGCAATAACTAACTACACTCCTGTACGAGCATGCATGTTTTGCCCTACTATAAAACTGGTGACAGCCAGCATAAATCATTCATACACATTCTCGAAAAAAAAATCATTCATACAAAATCCAATAAAAAAGGCCCTTGATTTTCTAGCACGTATAGCAGGTACTGCCCCTCGCAAAAGCAAAAAAAAGTAAAGTAGGTACTGGCTTCAGTAGAGTTGACTGGTTACCAGATGATTTCAAACACCTATCATCATCTAGGATACTTACTAACAAAAATCCATTTGTATGGGGTTTTAAACGAGCATATACCTTTTGTTGCATGTGGACACCAAAATCACTAAGTATCACATTTCCTGAAGCATCTGTTGCATTTGATTTTTGCAGTAAATCCTGCAACAACAAATCCAAGAATCACAACCTAAATTTCATCCATTTAACTGAAGTTACTAGAGCTTTTGGACGAGTCAAAACACCATGCGCCACATCATACCTGTCCTGCACCTTCAGCCACACAAACCACACAAAATCCCTTGGTTTCCAGTAAATGCTCAAGATGTGACAAGACACCATGTTCTCCATCAAGTGTAAAAGATACCTTCACTCAGATTGTGCGCTTGTGTTAGTAAATGTGAAGCAAAGACAGATTTGAAGCTCCATCAGCAGTGTTTTCAGTTACATACCTCAGGTATTAGGCAGACATCAATCTGTCCGCTAGAAAGAGAAGCATGCATGGCTATGAACCCAGTGCTTCTTCCCATTAATTTGACCAACCCAACTCCATGATATGCACTACGTGCCTGAAGATAGAAGGAATTATCTAAAGCAAGAGTAACCATATACCAAATTCACTCCACTTAAGTTTCCATAGTAAAAGAACACGAACAGCAGCAACGTAACCAACCTCTATATAGGCAGAATTGATTGCACGTTGAGCTTCTTCAACAGCTGTGTCAAAACCAAATGTCTTATCCATGAAAAGTATATCATTATCAATGGTCTTTGGAACAGCTACAACTGAAACTTTCAGTTTTCTCTTACGGCACTGCAAACCAGAACAAAGAATTAAACTAAGCATGTACAGTCACATCCCATGAAACACATACGTGTTTTTTCAGTAGAAGATCTGCCAGAATACAAAGATTTAACATAGCAAATGTAATGCACAACGTTGTAACAGTATGTACTTCTATGAAAAGTTTATCATTAAGAATCACGTGTATTGGGTGTACTTTGGGCACAACCACAGAAGTAACATGTGCTGATTAGGGAAAAGGCATCCCTATGTTTTCTCAATACTGTGTCATTTTTGTGCAAACAATGGGCTTTGTATTCTCAGGTAATTGATATAACCTCTACCATTAGGTTGTATAAGAGTCAGATTACTGTGCTATACTTGACATAGAAATAGAACTAAATGCTCCTTTATCCAATCATGTCCAAAAGTACATCAATGACACCTATGATAAAAATAAAGAAAGGAACTCCAATAGAGACGTAATAACCTCCTCGTGGATAGCATTAGCTCCAGCATGGCTACCATTTCCTCCTATTACAAATAGCATATCGATTCTTCTGGCCTTCAAACACAGGATGATCATGTAAAATAATAATGAAGCATCAATACAGAACATCACAATCTTTTATTCACATTGCTTACCTGTATGCTATCTACAATTTCACTAGTTTTAGCTCCTCCACGTGAGACACCTAGGAAGCTTCCACCAGCAAGATTTATGTTCTCCACCACATCACGTGAAAGCTGAAGGTTGAAACCAAAATGTAATTCCATGGCATAATGAACATCAACTTCCTTACAACATCAGGCGAATGGGGGATGCATCCTTACTGGCATTTCTTTTAAGCCTTTTTCAAAAAATCCACGATAACCAAACTGAATTCCGACAATATTCTTCACCCCATAGATCTCCAGGGTAAATACTATCTGGAAATACGATTTACATTTGATCAATATTGTCAAGAGGTTGTGGAACCAAGATTTAGACACAAGAAATATATTTTTAATAAGGCACACCACTTATTTAAACTTCAGGCATGTAAAGAAAAAGCCAATTTCTTGCACGATACTGAAAGGACAATACCTGTCTAATGACATCATTTAAACCGGGGCAGAGCCCTCCACAGGTAACAATGGCTGCTTTTACTTCCTCTGGCTCATAGTATATTTCCTTACGAGGCCCTGCACGATGCACCCTATAAAAAGCAAATACCACTGTCTCATCAATTCCCCCTTCTTGAAAGATAGAATCACGAGAATATAGCAATTGAAGACATTCTAGTAACAATCAAATGACAAATGCAAAAACTCGCATAAGCTAGCAATTTTTCATATAATCTGATGATAAAAGGTAACGTATGTCACAGAAAAGACAAACCAACTGCATCAGAGCGTACCAATGTTCCACCCAGCTACAATCAGGATCAATGCACTCAGCTCCAGCAGAAGTATTAGAGGCATAGTTAATCACCTGGAGAAACATACTGTGTAATTATAAATACAAACAGTAAGGAAAAAGATAAGGCTTCTTTAGTCGAAGGTTCAAAAAGCAAAGTCTTTGCGTTTTCTGGAAAAAAAACATTTTAACTGAAGCACATAATTGGTATTATCTAAAGTAATGTTCGGCAGTTTACAAAGAGAATTAGTAGTTTGCACGAAGTCGGCACATTCAACCTTACAAAATACATTAATGAATTCATGAATAAGCAAATGATACATGGTACCACTAACTGTCTCGTGACATAATTAATTCTTCCTTAGTTTCCCTGAGGTACATCTCGAGAATAGGCTTTCTTCATGTATTATCTTACAAATCCTACGGAAAACAATTAGTTCACGTCATATGAAGCGTGGAGCATCATATGTTATCTCATTACTGACCTTCAGAAGTGCTCTATCATCCTTATTCACATAGCCATTCCACTTGTCAGGTGATGAAGCATCGCTAGCGCCCAGGGGACTTCTGTCAGTAACATATGTTCTTTGTAAAATAAGAGAGATAGATACAGCTTTATGTTTTCAGAATACATAACAAACCAGTTATAGATGAAGTGAATAGGAAGGAACCTGTTTTTCTTCAGAGAAAATGTAGTGAGCCTTGGCTCTAAATCAAATACATCTGTAATATGTGGCAAACTAAAGCGCCTATCCCAGTCTTCCTGATACTTTTGCTTCCAAGAAGGATCACCGAAATCCAGGTCCAACTTCCCTGAAACAGCTCTGGCATGCAGTGCAGCAGAGCCTTTTCTGCTCTTTCGTTCATTTAAGTGAGTGAAACCATACTGACACTGATCCCTGGTTGGATGCCCCCACAGCTGTTGTGCAGTACAAGCACTCGTGCTTGCTTTGAAAGCAATGGCCATCCCAGATAAGGGCATGAAAATAACAGTGGACCCCTAATCTGCAGTAGGAATTTATGTAGGCTGAGTACTTCGTCCCTCCTCAAGCAAAAGTGAAAAGGAGAGGTAAAAACAGCCTGAAGGATCAACTGGTATCGAAATACTGAGACGATTCCATAGAAAAACAATCACAGATCCATAAAATCATTTAAAAGTGAATTCAACATTACAGGGCCAGTTGGGCCAGTTCCAACTCTAGGAACAAGCAAACTCTAGTCAGCCAGCTCACAGAGACTGAGCCAGAAAATCCTACAGAACACATTATAAGACAAGAGCATCTGTGTAGTCTACTCATGATCATCTACTCCAACAACACAAGCACGGCACATTAAAACCGAACCAGGCAGCAGCAAGAAGGTAAACATTTCTCAAGATGCCCTACCCACAACAAATTAATTTACACGGACATCAACATGCAACATTCCAACCAACTACACACGTGCCTTTGCCGATCACAACCCACACATGTGACGAAGGTACATTGAGTCAGATGCTACGGTACCACCGAACACCATCAAAAGTTCAGAACGCCTATGAACAACACGAACGAGACACCGTCCTAACATATCACACCCGCTCTGCGTGCATTCCGCGCTCGAAACTCGCAGAGTAGACAGCGAAATACGAACCAAATCGGATAGATTCCGGATGGCCAAACCAACTGGCCTTCCAATTGAAACCCCAAGCTCCCTTCCCCTTCAAACTCTGGTACCCTCCCAAACATTTCTAGCCGGCCGAGCCATGCAGCGCACACGCCGATGGCGGGACCGAGTTGCCACCACGGATGGCAAGACGAGACCGCCGCGTTTGTCTCCTCACGAGCGGAGCTGGGGCCTGCCTGGGGATCCACCGGGCGGAGGCGCGCGGGGTGGGGATTTGGGGATGAGCGGCGGCTTACCTGCGACCACGGGTTGAGACGGCGAGATGAATCGGGGGTGAGCTCCTCTAGCGCCTCTCCTCCGGCCTCCGGGCTTTGGATTTTTCGAGCCGCTCCACGCTTCACCGAGGGATTGATTCGGGCGCGGCGGAGAATCGGAGGGAAGCGGACGGCGGGGGAGGGAGAGGGGCGGTCTGCCAGGTGGCGTAGAGGTGCCTCGGTGGGCTCGGTGTATTGACCGCTACACGTGTTCGGGCACTGGATTGGTGGCGTTTTTCTCGGGGACCGGTCCACGAGATGTCGAGGCATTTTTGTTTTTTCCTCCTTTTATTTTGCGAGGTAGTTTTCTTTTAGGGGATCCCTCATTTGCCGGGTAGTTCTTTTTTAGGAGTAAAAACGATTTTCATTCAAACTAGTAAGTGTGCACGTGCGTTAAATTATTGGTTGCATTTTAAGTAGATGCCAACATGTGGTAGATAAAAGGTTGCTTTGCGTCTCGTGGCGTATAGGAAAGCTTGACAACGCATGAAACGATGAATGTTCATGTCTGGTACACACAGTCACAAACATACATAAAAATGGAGAGTATAAATCAACCCATACAACTCGTTATTTCATGCCTCCATTTACTCTTTATATGCATCAAGATGCTCTTGACATGTAAGGCCTCCTTTGGTTTCGAGGAATTTTATAGAAATTTAGAGGATAGGATTCTTATAGGATTTTTTCCTTTAGAGCCCTTTGGTTCATAGGAATAGATTCCTATTCCTACATAGGATTAGTTCCTATCCTTCATATTTCATAGGAAAATAAAAATGAGCCTAGACTCAATGGAAAAATTCCTTTGGTGTCAACCAAATGACATCTTGTTTCCTATTCCTACTCATAGGATTTGAGATACATGCCATCTCATTTCTTACAAAATTCCTATTCCTATGATAATCCTATCCTATGAACCAAAAGAGGCCCAGGGGACTTCCTATTCTGCACGAAGTGTCAAAGCACTAAAAATCCAAAGCTAAACTCGGCAGGCAACATACACAATTCTACAATGTTTCCCCTCTTTCATCTATGTTCATCCTCCTCCAAGCCAGCAAGCTTTCATGCCAAAATGCGAAGAGAACAATGCGCTGAATAAATACAAGGGTAGACATAGAAAAAAAATAGTACAAAATAACATCCCGGAACACAATGGGGACATATGGAGAAGCACCAGTTGTAGAAAATAAGAAGAAAAAAATGCAAGTCATGACCATTTTTGATAGTTTTTCTTTACACCCACTTGTGTGTAATACTATCAAACAATAAAAATAATTTGATGGTCATTAGTTCCAAACCATTAACCGAATGAACAGCGAAAGGACCTCAAAGTATTTATACGTAGAAGAATAGTAAAAAAATATTTATTTATAGATGGTTCATGTGAGAAGAAAATCACATCTTGCAATTTAGATCATCCAACCCCTTTATGAAGTGAAAGGAGTTCCAAATGTAACAACTTAAAATAAACCAACTCCAGCAGTACAAGTGTTACAAATTAAGAAAAAACAAATAATGTGTTGATGACACATGTAAACGACATCTGCTAAGAAACACCGAAGATATAAAGATAGCACACTCTGGTTAGTAATGCATAGAAACCTTATTTTGAAGTATACAAGTCAGCATAGGCACGCCATGTAAGTTCACAAGAAACCGTAAATGTTGGTTGGGCAGTTGTCTTACAAGCAACATAAATTACCGGCACTCCAGCGGCATCCCCTGAGAAGGGGCGACCGGTGCGGGACCCTCGGCGGTTCACGAATTACCGGCACTCCGGCGGCGTCCCCTGAGAAGGAGTTGTTGGTCCTCGGCTCCTTGTCGCCATGCCAAGTGGAGGCCGGTTGTGGTGGTTTTTCTTGGGAGAGATAGGATCGTGATCCAGGAGGTCGAGGTGATGGACGTGTCAATGTGTGCAAATACCCGATTAGTTTCCTAATAAAATGCGATCGTGATCAGTTTCCTAATAAAACATGATCATGGTTAGTTTCCTAATAAAACACGATCATGATTAGTTTCCTAAGAAGATGTGATCGTGATTAGTTTCCTAAGAAGACGCGATCATGATTATAGTTTCCTAATTGATCGGACATGGAGTTTCATATGGTGAAGCACGGTCAGTCAATGTAAATTGTTAAGTGCACACAGAGAATGGATTAGGTTAAGGCTAGCCGTTATATTAAGTTTAGTGGGCTTAATCATGCGGTCATAATGAATCCATGTACATTTTACGGGGTGCACATAAGAAAGTTCTTGTTTGATTGTTTAATAGTAGTGGAGATAAGTTCACCGGAATCATTGCAATGTCATGTGGTTGAGCAAACCAAACATGTCTACTTATATCCAAAGAAAAGGAAAATTTAGCTAAAGCATCCGCTTCATGGTTTCTGCTTCTTTCCTCATGAATGAAAATACAACTCTCAAACTCCTTTGATCTTTCATTGATTTCTTTAATGATAGCAGCACAACGTCCTGCCTCTCCTGCCTTCACCTCCTTGATGGCTGTAGAACAGTTTGAGGACACGAAGACTTTCCGGATTTGAAGATCCAAAGCAAGTGCTAGTGCCTCTCCACATGCAAGTATCTCCAACGTAGGTGCATCCAGAATTTCAGGAAAAGTAATTGACGACGATCCCATATAAATTCCTTGATCATCTCGACACACCACGGTTGTTGTCCCTCTCTTACCTCTCTTTGATACAGCACCATCAACATTAAACTTGCATATACCTTGTGGTGGCCTAACCCATGGCTCTTTCACCAAAATTCTGTTTTGCACTGTTTGTGTGGGCTTCAACTTCTGTTCTATGTTTCCGAGATCAAGAATATACCTCCTAATGAAGTGATGTGTTGCCAAGGGTGCCTGAAAATCATGCTCATAAACAGCTTTTCTTCTGGAATACCACACTGCCCAAAGTGTCACAACCATCTCAGTGTATTCCACATGAGATAACAGGTCCTGCATAGCTGAAATCCATTGCTTTGCGTGTGTGTCTGTGACTTCAGTCATCTTCTGCACCATCGTCTCATTGGCCAATGCCCATACACATCTTGCTGGAGAGCAGTCCAGAAAAGCATGGCGCCATGAATCATGAGCCCCGCAAAGAGGGCAGCATGCAGAGTCGGCCATGTTTCTATGCTCCGGTACGTCAAAGGTGGGTATCGAATGTTTAGCCAAGCGCCAAAGAAATACTTTGAGCTTTGAAGGAATCTGTGAGCCCCATAGATTAGTCCATTGCTTTGTTGGGTCCACTGTATTCAAGCTACCAGCATCATGAAACAACCAACCTTCGCGATTGTACTTGGTGTTGACGAGCATCTTATAGGCCGACCGAACTGTAAAGTTATCATTGTTCTCATGTGCCCATGACCAAAAGTCTGTCACGTTCCTTGTACATAAGGGTATGCCCAGAATCACTTTCTGAATCCATGGGTAAGAAACTATGTCAAACTAGGTCCTCTCTCCATCTAGAGGATGTCTCATCAATCAGTTCTGAGACAAGGAAAATATTACCATTTGCAGTCGTAATGGGTCTCACTGAGCTCTTCCTGGGAAGCTAGTTGTGGTTCCAAATCTCCGTGGATGTCCCATCACCAATACGCCGAATCAATCCCTGAACCAGGACGTCCCTTCCTTCCAGTATGGCCCTCCAAACTTGCGATGGCTGTGATCCTAGTTGTGCATGTAGAATACATGTTCCCGGGAAATATACCGCCTTCAGTAGTTTTGCACTCAAGGAATTTGGATTCTCTAACAATCTCCATGCTTGACGAGCTAGAAGCGCTAAATTAAACAATTCAAGGTCTCTGAACCCCATGCCTCCCAAATATTTTGGTTTGGTCATCACATCCCAAGACACCCACGCAACTTTCCTCTTCCCTTCTTTTGCTCCCCACCAGAATTTCCTTATCATCATATTCAAGTGTTCACATAGCCCCCGTGGAAGTTTAAAACATCCCATGGAATAAACCGGGATGGCCTACACAATAGACTTTATAAGCACTTCTTTTCCTCCCATAGAAAGTAATTTCTCAAGCCAACCTTGGA